TCTCTATACCTTTGCGCAGTAAGAGTACCATTAAAAAAAATAGGTCCATAAATCCTCCTTCGATTGAGAGCACACCAAACTCCAATTTTTTGAGCGTGTAGAGGGCCCTCGACAAAAAAGTTACCTGGTTTTTCAGAAGACCACATTCTCATATTCTGTGAGTTTACGTAACCACTTAAATGAAACCAGGCTTCATCAGAAAAAAAGGCGATATTATGAAGTTCACCGTAGTTGTTTAAAAACCATTCACAAAATACAGCCCGTCGCGGAAAATCACCTTCATGAAGTTCTTGCTGTCAAGTTAAACGATAGGAGAACAAACGCAAATCTTTTTTTAACACTGTGTGGCAGGTACCGACTGATACTCCCACCATTTGTGATAAAACACGTACAGAAGTTCTTGGCGCATTTTCCATTATTTGTTGGACATTTTCTTTTAATTCTTCAGTCCGCTTTTTAGGTCCGCCTCTTCCTTCTTTTCTTGTTACACTGTTTCACGAAAAACATTAACACAACGCTGAACTGCACTTTGAAAAATTTTGTACTCAACAACGCCGGGAAATTGATTTTGAAATTCTATGAAACATACCTCAATAGAATACTTCCATATTCCATCAATCTTGCGTCCATTTCTAAAGTAGGACTCTATGATAAACACTTTTTACTCTTGAGAAAACACCATTTTAAACGCTTTTTAAAACGAAAATATTCAAATTGATAGCAGCGATATAGCGCTTCGACAGATGACGTTTAAGTTCATTTGCTATAAGCTACGCCCTACGTCCAAATTTTCAGAACCAACTTGACCACGTTTTTATTTGAACGCTCGTTACTTTCGTAATAATGCATTTTTATGGTTACATTGTTACATTTAAAAAAGAAATAAACTAACTAAAGTGCGATTAACAATAAGTAAACCCATTTTACAGTACAGTTATGGAAGAAGGAACATTTGCGACCACCTCAGGAGGTATAACATGTACCGTTGTATACAGGATGAGTCGGGAGAATAGCACCAAACTCCAGGAATGTGTTCTAGACGTCAAAATAATAAGAAATAACTCAAATATTGTTATGCGATTTTCATTTGTTATGAAGCTATGACGTACGTTTCAAGGATAGCGAATTTTTTTTACTCCGAGATTTTTTTTATAGAAAAGTTTAGGTTTTGAGGTTAGGAAACATATGACACACACGCAACCACCAGCAACATACAACGTGTTGAGGTATGTATATACATATACAGGGTGATTCACAAATGGTGACCAAAAATGAAACCTCGTATTCTTTGGTGAATTTTAAGATAAGTCCTTCCTATAAAGTTTTTATCTAGAACACTTCATTAAAAAGATACAGGGTGTTGAACTTCAAAAAATATTTTTAATTTTTTTAGATAATTTAAAAACTAGTAAGTGAAATAATTTTAAATTGGGCACTTGTATTTATGTAAACATTGTCCAAAGTCTGTGGGCGTTTCCTAAAATTTACATGCTCCAGTGGCGGAGATACAAGGTATCGCTGGCATATTTTTCTAAATAAAACAGTACGCCACTGCTTTACGGTAACAACCATTATATTTTCCGATTCGTCCTTCAATTTTCTACTCTCTTAAAACTTAAAAAAACAACTGAACTGAATTCGTAAATCACCCTGTATAAATGATTTTTTGCGTTTTTTACCAAAAACTGCAAATATCTCAATGAAGCTGCATTTTTTCGAAAAAAAGTGTCAAATAAAAGTTGTTCAAAATTAAATTTTCTACAAAATTGCTCGTACGAAAAAATTCGATTTTCCCAATAGTTTCTCCGTATATTTTTGAAATGAGGTACAGATTATGTCAAAATTAATATTTTGGAGCCAAAATAATGGTCAAATCATTTTTAAATAACAAAAGTGAATTAGAGAAAAGAAAATTGGGGAAAATTCTTGGAAAATCGTATATAGTTTTCCGAGGTTTGAATATTTATGAACATCAAATGTATCATTTTAAGTATAGGTTTTCGAGGGTATGCATTACAAATTAATTATGCCTTTTTTAATATTTTCCAGGAAAATCTCTTTCCTTTGTTCCTACTTGGAACATGATATATTCTGATATCAAATTTTTAAAATTTGTAATTATGCTTTAACAAATGAAAAACGCATTTAAAATTTTTCTTATTATTTTCACGTATAGAATACATTCCTAGAGTTTGCAGCGACTCTATCGACACACCCTGTATATTTAAATTGTAGAGTCAATAGGACACTATAAAATTTCACTGCAACGAAAGTTGAAAGTAACACATCTTTTTGTGCAAAATACTTTTTATACATAACTTCAATTCAGATTCAGTAAATTCAGATTCCATTTTAAGTGATCGATAACTATTTCGGTATAAAATAGTTATCGAAATTCTAAGCGTTTATTTGTTTCTTGTGTCATTACATCCGTTGACGTGTCTTAGATTTTTAAATACTTAAACCCAGTTCAGTACCTCAAAGACTAACGATATGGTTATGTATCTTAGCAGCTTAACAATATCCGGTGACGCAAAAGTTAATTACTGATAAGGCTTTAGACTCGATCTTTCAAATCCCCGTCAGAGAAAATGTTAATCGAATGGAATTCATAAGAATTGTTTACATATCTACGAGAATATTTCATTTTTGTAATTAGAACGCGTTCAAGAATGGAAGTTATAAAGACAAAATATCCATTCGAAAACGCAAAAGCATTTCGCGTACCAGTTAGTTGTAAACAATATTTTTTCGATAACTGCAGTAAAATAAGACAATAATTGTGTTATATCCAACAATTAAATTTATATTCGAAATCGTCATAACGATAGCAACCTAATAGACAAAAAAAAATTAGTTGTTTGAAAAAGTAGTGTCAGAATTATACAGGGTGTCCCGGTACTTGATACAAAAAAGATGAGGCCAAAATTAAAACCAGTTCTTCATATAATTTTTTTTCATACGGGCCCTCAAAAGTGAAAATTAAAAAGTTCTTTTTATTTACAGTCTCTAAACTATTAACTTCAGCATGTTGCAAATTTGTTTTTTGTTTTTGATATTGTAAGTAAAACTTCATTATGTCCGGAACGCCAGGGACGGACTATGACCAATGGTTAACAACACAGAATTTTTACACAGATGACGATCGCAATCTGCCTGTATCAAAAATAAGTTCCCTGAAGAATTTGCCAACGATAATACCCTCTTGGTTCAACTCGGTCAAATTAACAGTTTAGGAAATATTTGTGATTTGGTCGCAGAACACATCGAGCGGCGCCTCCACCATTTTTTGTTTTTAATTTTTAATTGGACATAATTACTATGTTAGAACTTCCTTTAGACAATTTTACGATAATTTCGCGGATAGGAATTTTTTCGAGTAAAAATCTTATTTGCTTGGCCTAGATATTAACTCTTTCCACAAATTTCATCAACATCCATCGCTTTTTGGAATAATAATGCTCAATTTTCGAAAACTGATTTTTCCGCGTTCGACCTTTATTTCATTGTTAGCGAATTAGTGAAATATAACTTTATAGATACCTTAAATTGTAGGTAATTTAATTGCCTACAACGTAAAATAACTAATATTCCGATAGGTCGTCTAGATTTTCGTGGGCAGTAAAAAAGTGAAAAAACACTTAAATTTGCCAACGAGTTACTTTTATAATATTATCATACCTTTTTAACTAAATTTATTTTTTAAAAACATGTATTTTATTAAGTCACGTTTAGCCAATTCAACAAATTCAAAAACTTTTTGTCAGAATCCTATTAAATGAAGGCATTTTTAGTACCGAAGAGCATAGTTTGACCTATACAGGGTGTTTGTAAATAAGTGCGAAATATTTTAGGGGGTGGTCGCCGAAGATAAATGTGCATTTTTTGGGGTGATTCGAATATTTCTACTTGCAACAGTGGCGTTCGGGCGAGAATGCCACATTTTTTAATAAAAAAAAATGGTGCACCACTGACTTTTCCCGTCTTGATATTTTTTTAAGAAATCCGCTATCAATTCTGAATGACATTCGTAGGAGGAAAAAGTAAAACATATTTTACTGCAAGCAAGTTGTGTATTTTTAATTTCTATTAGGTAAATTATCTTGTAGGTTGCTGTCAATATTTCTAAATAAAATGCAACCATCAAACACAAACCCCCTGTATATCATAGGATTTTCAAAAAAATGTTGAATTTATTTGAATTAGCTTAAGAAATTTAAAATAATGCAATTCTCTAGTTCAAAATCAATTTAATTTCATCATATCTTGCCATTATCAGTAAACAAATAACGTTGATAATTCAGAGAGCAATTAAAAAACATATTATTAACAGATATAATTTGAAGGGTCGAAAAAACTCGAAAATAATGCACTAGAATATAATGTGGACTGCAGGGTGTCACCTAACGAACGTTACATACTTCAAAGGTATAATCTAGAACCCAAATGGTGTCGATTTAACCAAACTTGCTTAAACGAAAAATGTCGAAAAAAAATTCCAGGGTGTTAGTTTATTTTTTTATTTCCTGTTTTCTCCTTAATTCAAAATTGAGTTAATCGATTTGAACAAAATTTGCTGTTGCTTAGTTTCTTTTCATGAAGTATGTTGTGATTATTAGATTAAATCATACAGGACGTTCATTTTACTATAACCCTTTGCGAATATTCTTCTGTAACTTTTTTGTACGTTTAAATTTTTTCACGCAACCATCAGAAATAGGTAGATAATTTTATTCACTTGTAACTTTTTTTTGCGACCGTATATTACAAATAACATATTTTTTCCTATTAAATCAGAACGAATCAACAATCTTCAAGTGCCATAATAATTGTGAGAGACGATACTTAGAAACAGATTACAAATTTAATGTTTTAATCAACATTTTCCCCTTAACATTGGGAAATTTCACTTAATTGGAATATATGTGGTAACAACTTAAAGATAACCACACCAAAGGTAGATAAAATCTACAATTTGCTTATAAAAACTGGAAGCACAATGGAGAACAACAAACCGTTACAAACACGTCGTTGAAGATGCAGATCTCAGTATGTTTCTTGGCCATCGTCTGCAGTGCAGTGGCTCTACCAGCAGAAATCCCTTTTGAGGCCCTTGAGGAGGTAAGCAATGCCTAAAATTTATTTTCTCAGAAATTGTTTGAAATGCTAGAATGTCTACACGCAAAGACACTTTGGTCAAAAATTTCGATCCAAAATTTTCTGCGTTATTCAAATTTAATTGTATATTTTATCTGGTGATTTTGAGTTACAAACGTTTCAAGTAACTTGTTTATTTGAAAATCATGTAATTTCGAATATTTTGATACTATCATGTCTTTGTTCTAAATGTTGGTTGACCTTTGACTATAACGGAGATGCTTAGATAAATCAGAAAATTGGATTCATTTGCGAACATATTTAGTCACTTTTTAATGCAGCTGCTTCTAACTCGATGGTGGTATCTGCGACCTGTACAGAGACTGTACCGCGATAATTTATCAAGTCTCTCATAATTTAATTTTATTATTTACTAAGTAATTTTTTATCTGAAAATATCAGCTTCGGAATCCATTCAAAGAATCACTTAATTATCACAATAACCTGTTTAGTAAATTTAAACCTAGGAAACAAACAAAATAACGACACAACGGGCTCGAACAACATTATTAATTACTTTATTGACACGCGACAGCGTACCGAGATTTGGAATCACTTTATCCATTATTAAATTAACCCGAGACTCTAACACTAAGTAGACTGCTCAATGTGAAACCCAAGGAAGAACTGCCTGTTTTTTCGGAGAGCTCTCCTGAATTCGACACCTCGCTTCGACACGCCCATTTCTTGGGTCCAGACGTTTCTGTTCTTATCTTATTGGTGGGATCCCTGAATATCGGGACGCTTTGGCATAACTATGCCATGTTAATAGTTATCTAATGGACTGAATTTACATTTGTCTAAATAATTTTGAGACTAAACTTACAAACAACCTTCCTCTTGTGACTCCGCATAGCAATACGGGACGGATCTCATTTAATCTATTTTTATAGCTTGGAAAATCCGCCTAAAAACCAGCTATTTGACCTATTATTATTTTCCTGACAACATTCTAACAACTTATTCTTGGAATTCCTACGTTCTTTGGAATGTATTTTGCGCGTTATTTGAAATATCGATTTTTCGCTTTATACCAAATGCTTAACACATGGCCCCGACAGTCTAAGTGAACTTGTTAAAAAATGCTGCTAAATTTCTCCGAAGGACGACGCTAAACCTACTTGAGAGCCCTTAACTTTCGATAATTTGTGTTGACTGAAATATTTTACTTTTTGACCCATCCGTTCCGAGAACTAACAAATAAATTACTACGCGTTCCGGCTTTTGTTACAGTATAGAGTAAAAATATATCCGATTATCAATTGCGTCGGAAGCCTTCCGAACCATCCGGTGTAGACCTGCGTATTTTTTTCAGCTTGATTTATCAAAACTAACCCCGAAGAACGTCTACCTCGAACCAATCAACCCAGTGAAACCCGCCGACCTCCCGAGCTCCAGGATCGTAGGCGGCACTGAACTAGCTCCTGGTGCTGCACCTTATCAGGTCGCCATCATCGCCGACAGCAGCGACTTCTGCGGTGGCTCACTCATCTCTCCCTCCAGCGTTCTGACAGCAGCCCATTGCACCATCAGGTGAGACTATTAACTAGATGCCCTTCCTTTAGCACTAAAGCACCATTGCATCCCTTTTCCAGGGCCTCCTACGTGCAAGTCAGAGTAGGCGCCCACAACTACAACCAAGACGAAACCACCCAGGTGCGCCTTACCAGCGCGAACATCATCAACCACGAGTTTTTCGACGCCTCCCTTTACCTGAACGATATCGCGGTAGTGTTTCTGCCTTCGGCAGTTTCCCTCACTGATTCCATCGGGGTCGTCGATCTAGCCCCGGTTTCGGCAAGTACCTACGCGGGGTCGTGGGGCCTCCTGGCGGGTTGGGGCATAACTACCGATTCTTCTGCCAATGTGGCCGTCAGTACGTTACGAGGCGTCTACCTCAACGTCATCACCAACGTCGAATGCCGAAGCATCTACGGCAGTACTGTGCTGGATTCGCATCTTTGTACCTCCGGAGCAGGTTAGTACATGTCGAATATTGCCAACGCTTACTGTTCAGTGTAAACGTAGCTACGATGTTTGCGAAAAAACAAAAAATAAGAGCAATAATAAAAAAAGCAAATTGAACCTTGAAGTGTCTAGTTTCAGGATCGGAAAGTCAGGAATGTTGATCGTTGACCATCTTTAAGAAATCATAGGAAATCCTGCGAAAAAAACATTTTCAAAATTTTTGCTTCTCTTTCAAAAAGTACACGAGCTTCAATATATTTTTTGACAATTCTAGCTCTTTTAGATTGCTTCATTCTCTTTAATTCGAGCTATTCAACAACTTTGTACGACAATTTCTCGCTAAGTTATCGAGATTCAAAGCAAAAATGATTTTTTGGCTTTGGTAACACAGGACCACAAAAAAAAAATCGACGAAAGGCCTCCTCGGCCAAACCTATCGTATTATATGTTTCTTGGGTCGCTGAAACCGAATCTGCAACTCATTTGGTCCCATTACGTCAGAGTTTTTTTCTAACCTCAAAAAATAGCTGAAAAATGGTAGAATTCGACAAAATCAACCCTGCAACCTGTTAAAACCTTATAACTCCACACCCTTATGATCCCGAACGAGCTCGACAAGCCGTAAAATGATACTCGCAACCGTAAAAATACATAACCTCAAAATTGAATGAGCCCAATACCCAAAAACCCAAAATAAGCAGCGAATTAACTTACACATAGGGCACAAACCTTAATTTTTGAATAGTAAACCAATTAATTTAGGCGATTTTAGTGAAGAACAGGGCGAAAGATTCCATCAGGATTTGAAAGACTTCGAGAAGAGATATCAGGGTGTTTGGGATAGCCACAGCAGACTACTGCTGGATGTTAAAGAGAGACACCACAGTACAGCATAAAAGACAAGCACAACGAAGATCATTCGGTAACAAACGGACTCGTTATTACAGTAACAAAGAAAATACCTGAATGGATATTCACCAAATTTTCTATAAGAAAGTGTGAGGCAAGGGGATTCACGAAAATCACGCACCCCGGAGGAAACAGAGTCCTGCTACGTCCACGTCGTTGTTCCTGGATACGGCAAAATGTACGCACCACCAACTCGTAGATTTTTGTGCGTTTGAAGTTTCTTGGATTCTAATGAGTATCTCATTTCAATTACTCGGGTTTGAGGATCTTTCTGCGGCCAGGGTATCTAGGTTTGGAAGATTAGGTTTATGAAACTTGCTGTACCCACATTCTGTGGGTTTAGGATCTTGGGTTTGAGGGTTTGCTGTGCCCAAGGTATGTGGGTTTGGGAGCCCGGGTTTAGAGATCTTACTGCACTCAGGCTTTGTGGGTTTGGGAACTCGGGTTTAGAGATTTAACTTCATCCAGGGTATGTGGGTTTGGGAGCTTAAGTTTATGAGTTTCGGCCAGTGGCTTCTTTGTTTGTATGTCTCGCTGCTCGTGTGTGACGCTCGAAGTGATCGCCACCCTCACCCTTATTAACGCCTGCCCTGGTTTTGAAGTTTTTGGAATTTAGGGTTATTCAGCTTCGGGGTTTTGAGGTTTCAGATTGAGGCTTTGTCGTGTTTTCAGGTTGTGGGGTTTCGGGGTTTTAGGTTAAAAGTGTTGACTATTCAAAAATGAAGGTTTGTGCCCTATGTGCAAGTTAATTCGCTGCTTATTTTGGGTTTTTGGGTATTGGGCTCATCCAATTTTGAGGTTATGTATTTTTACGGTTGCGAGTTATCATTTTACGGCTTGTCGAGCTCGTTCGGGATCATAAGGATGTGGAGTTATAAGGTTTTAACAGGTTGCAGGGTTGATTTTGTTGAATTCTACCATTTTTCAGCTATTTTTTTAAGTTAGAAAAAAACTCCGACGTGATGGGACCCAAATGAGTTGCAGATTCGGTTTCAGCGACCCAAAAAACATATAATACGATAGGTTTGTCCGAGGAGACCTTTCGTCGATTTTTTTTTGTGGTCCTGTGTAATCAATACTACTTAACTAATGATCGTACAGAAAATTTAAGCAGGGTTTTGAAAATTTCAAGGTATCCTCTATAAGACGTTCTTGCCGTTTTTTGATACAAACAATTTTTTTTTTTGATGCAAGACACTTGATTAAAAAAAGGTAAAAATCGAGTATTTAAGGATTTTCGCTAAACTTGAGATAACTTTAACAATGAATAGACTAAGCATATTTTCGGTTTTTTTACCTCAGAGTAACCCTCAAAAGTTCAAATCGTTACAATTTTTCTTTCTTTATGATCCGCATGATTGAAATTGTCACTTGCTAAAAATCTATAGAAGGATAAATTCTGCATATTTTATTCGTTTTATTTTAAATTCAAAATGTTTTTTACTACGAAAAAATCCATACTTTTTCATCAAAAACTGTTAAATACCAAACAAAAAAATGAAAAAAAAAAAACATTTTTCGAACAAATTCAGTAAATGGTACCATACTCAAGCTTAGGTCTTACCAAATAGTCCAGGTGGTAGAGCATTCGAGGCTTTTTTATTTGAAGTCTTCTATTTTGTTGTACAGAAAAATACTAAATATTATGTAGAATAAGAATCAGAGTTTGCCTATTCCAAAATAACCCTTGCTAAAATCAGGGGAACAACAAACATACAAAAAAAAACGAAGTATGGCCCGTTTTTCGACATTCTTTCCCCGTAACATAGACAGTAAGCCCTAAATAAAAATAAAAGTCATTCTTTATTTTTTGTTTATTTGACGATTTTCTATAAAGTTACAATAGTCCAGGCGATATCTGTTTTAAAAAGGGTATACTTGGGTAAAACGCATATGATCGGAGATTTTTGCTTTAACGGCTTCTAAATAACATCAGAATTGATAATTTTTCCATACAAATAAAAAAAACGTGGGCTTAATTGTTATTGCAAAAAGGTATAAAAAAATTGCAAAAAAATTCATTTTTTTCTTGGATTTCTCGGCGAGAACTTAGCAACTATTCATTTTAGACAGAAATGGAAGAGGAAAAAAGTTTTGTAATTAAATTTTAAACAAGATAGAGTTAGTTGCAATTCGAAAAAATAATTATTGTTGTTGCAAAAATCGGAAAAATCATTTAAAAATATTGCAAAAAATGCTAGTTTATTTGTCAATTTTTTTCAGACACTTGAATAATACCTAGGATCTTCATACTTTTCCCAATTAAACTTCTTAGTGCATAGAATCATCACACCAAATTTCATTCAATTCGGTTTGATAGTTTTTACATAATAATTGTTTAAATTTTTTATATTTTTTAAATTAAAAAATTTTCAAAATCAAATTTCTAAAAATCTAAATCCTTTGAATACTTGAAAATTTCACCACAGAAAGAAGAGCTCTCAAGCTTTAAAATGATTTTTGAAATATTCAAATCGGACGATTAGGTGAACCGTGGTGATTGTTTAAACATTTTCGCAATTTTCACGCTTATAAACAATTGCAATAATTTAATGTTTTTTTCATTTTTTTTTATTTTAAAATATGGTTTGAAAGTACTCGGAAAGACGAGTATTTAAAAAAAATACTGATGATCCGCCCATTATTTTCGGAGTTATAGCCCGTTAAAGTTAACCCTTATTTACAGTAAAACTATAAGGGTATAAGGGCTGTTTTTTGAACTAATAGATTTGTCATTCCGAGTACTTTCCAGATATAAATTTTCAAAATTTGCAATCACGGGCGTCCCATTTAAAATGTCACTCAAAGATATTCAAGCCCGCGTGAAATCAATGTGGTATCAGTGGTGGGGGGAACAAACACACTCCGATCTAATTCTCGAGTTCAAAACTGCGACGCTCGGAAAAATTTCACGTATCAGTTTCTAATGGACCAATTTCGATGATTTTTTTTAAATTGATGTCTCACAACTTAAAAAATTCAATTATCATATTTTCAACTACCTTTTATTATTAATTATTTGACTTTTGACATGCCGATAAACAGTTACTTTAAAAAATGATTCATTTATTATGTTTATTTATTTACTATGTTAATATTCACGACCAAAATTTTTGCATGTTGCACCAGGTAATACTAGTAAGTTTGTTTAAATATTATAAAATTGTTTAAACAATAATTATTTAAATAAACAACTGAAAATTGGTATTAATTTTTAGTTGTACGATAAATTTCTAAAAATCTTTAAAAAAAAATAAATTGTGAATTATTGTAATTATAATTTTAATTTTTTCGTTTACTTTCAAAATATTTATTTAAAATTTAATTTTTTATTTATATAAAAAAGTATAAGAATCTTTTGGATACTTCAATAAACAGTACACACTTTTCATGATTTTTCAAATTTTAAACTATTTATTTCAATTTTTATTTACATTTAATCTAATCTAATTCTTTTACTAGTTGGTGATTTTTCACATGCCTCATCAGTATTATCACAATCTATTTCGTCGTCGATTTCCTCCTGCAACTGCAAAATATCATTTTCTAACGACTCTGAAATCTGATTGTCGAGTTCTCTTGCACTTTCTTCTGACATTCTTCTTCAAAATCGATTTTGAACTCGTCTACTTTCACTGTTTTGTAAGCATTTTTACACATTTGCCCTTGGCAATGGGTGTAATACTTCTTCAAAATCGATTGAAAAAAACATTAAATTATTGCAATTGTTTAGAAGCGTGAAAATTGCGAAAGTGTTTAAACAATCACCACGGCTCACCTAAGCGTCCGATTTGAATTTTTCAAAAACAATTTTAAAGCTTGAGAGCTCTTCTTTTTGTGGTGAAACTTTCAAGTATTCAAAGGCTTTAGATTTTTAGAAATTTGATTTTGAAAATTTTTTAATTTAAAAAAAATAAAAAATGTAAACAATTATTATGTAAAAATTATCTAACCGAATTGGATGAAATTTGGTGTGATGATTCTATGCACTAAGAAGTTTAATTGGGAAAAGTATGAAGATCCTAGGTATTATTCAAGTGTCTGAAAAAAATTGACAAATAAACTAGCATTTTTTGCAATTTTTTAAATGATTTTTCCGATTTTTGCAATAACAATAATTATTTTTTCGAATTGCAACTAACTCTATCTTGATCAAAATTTAATTACAAAACTTTTTTTCCTTTTCCATTTTTGTCTAAAATGAATAGTTGCTAAGTTGTCGCCGAGAAATCTAAGAAAAAAATGAATTTTTTTGCTATTTTTTTAATACTTTTTTGCAATAAAAATTAAGCCCACGTTTATTTTTATTTGCATAGAAAAATTATCATTTCTGATGTTATTTAGAAGCCGTTAAAACAAAAATCTCCGATCATATGCGTTTTACCCAACCCGAAACAGATACCGCCTGGACTACAATAACTCCGAATCAGAAAAGTTGAATTGTGCGTTAACAATGGGCGAAAAATAGTAGAAAATCATATGAGCAATTTTTAAAATAAGTAAATATTTATAAATTTGATGAAACTTTGTGAAAAAATAGTGAAACAGAATTGACACATTCTGTCAATTCTACCGTAAAAATTTAAAAAAGTTTATCGGGTACTGTGAGTTTAATTTAAGGTTTAGAAAGCACACAATTTTTTAAAGATACTTGTTGTCATAATAAACAATGATCAATAGCTATTTTTACACTATTTAGATTTTTTTTTAATTTTTCAATATTTTACTCTACCGTTTGTTATCCAGCACCCACCACTTAGGTTTGTAGCATCCTTTTCCGGATACCCTACATATTTTCAAGTGCTATACAAAAAATTGCATCTAGAACTACACGTCATATTTGGCACACCATTAATAAAACTAAGAAAAAGTAGCGATCCCAAGTTGGAACCTTGGGGAACGCCTGATCATTCGAAGCGACACCACTACATTTATTAACGCTTAACAAAATATTTCGTAATAAGAAACAAGTAGTTATAATAAAACATCAGCACATACAGGCACAATTTTTTTCTAATTAAGTAAAAATTATAAATGTGTCTCTTTTTTCAGGAATTGCTGGTGGTTGTAGCGGCGACAACGGCGGTCCTCTGGTGATCGATGGGGTCCAAGTCGGGTTGGTAGCTTTCTTCCCAATCAGATGCGAAAACGGAAATCCCACGGGATTCACTAGGATCAGCTCGTTTAGGTCCTGGATCGCCCAGAACGCTGGCGTATAAAATAGCATGATAGCTTGACGATTTAGAATATTTAAGTTGTTCAATAAAGTACTTCGAAAATGGAAAGTTGCGTTTTGAGTTTGTACTTACTTGATGTAATACAATAAAGTAAAACAAGTGGTCAAGTAACGGTTAAACGAAATAAAAACAAATCATGCGATTAGAAAGCGAAAACTTACGCAAAATTCAATAAAATGTAGGTTTTGTATCAGTTCAAACGAATCAATACATTCTACAGCAACTAACGATAGGTTATATTGCACTTTAAACAAATTTATAAATATTGAAGCTGATTTTAATATTACCTTTATCAGTTTCAGGGATATCCAAAATAAAAAATAATAATAATAGGCCTTTTAGGTTTTTTAAATATACAGGGTATTTCCTAAGTACGATCCGTAAAAGACGTAGATGAAATGCATCTGAGTCATTTCAGTTTCAGTAAAGTTATTCGTTTTCGAATTTTATTCTTTAATCTGCAGTGTTGATTGACAATTTACAACTACCACAACAAGTAACTAAGACAACAAAAAAAAAAAGGTATAGGTACTATATTATCTCTTATTTCTGTTGCCGCTGAATTAAATAAATAAGTTTTTTTCTGAAAACAATAAAAATTAAAAAAAAATCCATTGGCGTTCTTAGACCAGGGATATGAGGAAAATGCCGTGACTGTTGAGTAGCCAGGGATCTGTAAAGTTTTTCATAAAATTTGGGTGAATTTTAGTATAATATGTACAAAACCCACACACCATCAGGTGAGGTTTTTTAATAATTAACAATAAAAGGTCTAAAATAACCCAAAATATCACTTTTTTGCCTACCAGAAAAAAAACGGTAATTTTTATTATAAAGTGAAAGTAACCGACTTGTAGGGAATAAAAAAAAATTTTAAATGGCGGTTTTTAAAATCCCATACGATAATTTGTTGCTCGGGAAATTGCAAAAAACTGTCAAAATTCGATTATTACTAAATAAACAATAAGTTTTGCAAAAGTCAACCTACGACTTTGATATTACATAAATAGTTGACTTTTATAGACCTTAATATGTGATTAAAATTTCAGACCGATTCATCCAATAGTTTTTGCAAAATTCCAAATGTTTATTCCAGAGGCATTATTTTTGCAATAACTTGATACGCAAAATTACCAGGATATTTTAATTCTGCGTATGTCATATGAAAGAGAAAGACTTCTTTTATTGGAAGAAATTACGTATTTTATTGCAAAAAAATTGTTTTTTATCACTGCAAAAACGTACCACAAAAACACTGTCATTTTTGTCTTATAAACAATTAGAATAATGCCATTATATTTAGAGAGATTATTTTTCCATATTCGTAAAGCTGGTATTTTTACACAAATTAAAAAAAAGTTACTCTAACTTAATTTGGGGCAAAGCTAGACACTTTTTTAAAAAAGTGCCATTTCCAAGATAAAGAGTTTCTATGTGAAATTTTTGAGGACGATAGCTTTGTAACAGCATCTCTGATTGTGAGCATGCTCCCAATACTGACTTCGATACAAGAAGACCTGTGAGTCACTGGATGGATGGGGAACCCACAAATCCACGAGCAAATTGATAGAGCAAGTTATATCTCTGGAACTTGTTGACCGATTTTGATGTTTCTATTTTTAATTTGGGGTACCTTCTTGCGTACATCACGAATATGCATTTTGTTAATAAATAAAAATTTATATTAATCCAGTAATTTCTTTAAACATTAACAATTTTTTTTTGCAAAATATTGTGGCGGCATGTTACAATTACATAATTATATTTAATTAGCAAATAAATTTGTTTTTGTAATTAATATCACATTAATTAAGTTGTATTTAGAGTAAATGAGATTAGGAATAAGTACATCATTAATTATAGAGCTTTATACTCCGCGGTCGAAATTATAGAGAGTGACTAAGAGATAATATAAAAACACTATTACCATAATGCGTATAAAATATAAAATGATTTTATAATTATTTGTCTTTGTGCCGCTCGCTACGCACATCGCTTTTGCACTTGGTAGGAAATAGGGAATTGCTTTTTTAGTGGGTGTAAACGGACTTGATTTACGAGTCCTGAGAAACGTCATAGCATAAGCGTAGACGAGGGGTCTAATTCCATGGCTATAATAAATTTATAAATTAGAAAAACACAACTGGGACGTTTCAAAATGCTGTAATAATTAAAATGGATCAAAATGCCGATTATAGTAAACCGTATAAAATATTAGATGTTATGTTTTATTATCTTTTTTCATTATTTTCTATATCTTGTTGCCTTTTACGCAGGCACGCCAATGGATTTTCGTTCCCGGCACGCTTCATCCCCCTTACTAGTCCAAAAGCTAGCGATGAATCACTCTCTATAATTTCGGCCGCGGAGTATAGGTACCCAACGTGTTTTACCATGGTTAGAAGTAGGTACACGACCGAGAGGGCAAATTTATCTTAGATCAGGCAAAGAAACGACATTATCAGTATGGGTTAAGTCTTGCTCCCGATCGGTCGTGCTGTCCTGTAAAGAAGCGTTCAATAAAGTTATATTGTTACACGTTTCGTTTTTCTTTGGTTGAACTCGGAGCACCCATAATATCAACATCTTTTGTATTTTTTTGTAATGGAACATTATAGGAATGATTAAATATCACTTTTTAATAAATTAATATTGCAATTAACTAAGTATTTTGTTTAAACTTTTACCTAAAAAAAAAAAAAAATTCTAAATTATCAACATTTTCGGAGTTATTTTGACGGGAAGTTACAGATATAGGTTAAATTTTTTTCTTATTAATAAATTAACATTTAAATAATTGAATAATTTGTTTCTACATTTTATGACGAAAACGTCATATCGAGTGCTTGCCCGGTTTCATTGAAAAGAACAGGACGTGTCAATTATTTTTTTAAATATTTGTACGCAACTATGTCGAATGTTTGTTCGCTGGAAGTAGATATTGCATTCTTTATATCACTGGTTGAAACCAGACCTGTCCAGCGGGACAAAACTTTAACCTTCATATTTCTTGTTTTTTTTTTATTGCGACGACATCGGCAATAGCCAAACTACATAAATGCCATGCGTCTACGATCCATTTCTTATCGTGATAAAAATGGAACTTCGAGACTAATATCGGCCAAACCGGTTTGAAAATTAAATTACATGTGAAAGAGCCATAAGTGTATCGTCCTGTGTCTTTCCTGTGCAATTTCTTATTAAAATAACAAATGAAGGAAGTATTATGTGGATATCCGCTAGAGGGGATCGCAATGCGTTAGTGTCAGATAAATCAATTATCTACGAATCGATCGATCAATTATAAAAAGCCGAACCACCTTGATGTGGCCTTCTAGATCCAGAAGTGAAGCTGAAGATGAAGGTCGTGGTTTATTTCTTGGCTGCTGTAGCATACGCTACGACTTTGCCCATAGAGATCGATTTTGACACACCCGATGAGGTAAGCCAAATACCTGAAGTGAAGCTAATTTGTTGCCTTCGAAATTAGAAATATAATAAAAGATTCCTTTCTATACACGTAAAATTAATGGCAGTAATTGCAAGTTGTTATCAGTATTAGGATTTGTTATGGATTTAAAATATCTACAGCTGATCTGTAACGAGATCCTTGTATTAAAAACTATTACAAATTCATGTATTTTCAGCTTGAGTCAAAACTACTTCCAAAGAACGTTAACGTCGAACTAATCAATTCCACAAACCCTGGAGTTGATAAACCAAGGGACCTTTTTGGAACCAAGATCATTGGAGGGACCGAGGTAGTTCCAAATTCTGTCCCATACCAGGTTGCTGTCATCATCGACAGCACTGGCTTGTGCGGTGGTTCCCTGATCTCCACCAACCATGTCTTGTCTGCAGCTCACTGTACCATCAGGTAATCCATTCGACGAACGTCTTCTCCAAACCTGATATTTCATTTGCTTCCTTGCTTCCAGGGCCTCTTTTGTGCAAGTTAGACTCGGAGCTCACTACTTCAACCAAGAGGAAGCCACCCAGGTGCGCATCACCAGCACCAGCATCAAGAACCACGACTCCTACAATCCCGTCGCCGTCGCCAACGACATTTCTATCATCTTCCTACCTTCTTCTGTAAAAACTAACGATCATATCCAAGTCATTCCTCTAGCTGCTGCAAACGCTGGTACCTTCGAGGACTCCACCGGCTTCCTAGCGGGATGGGGAACGACTACCGACGCATCCGGTCCTTCACCTGCCCTAAACGCCGTTCACGTCAGAATCATCAGCAATATAGTGTGTAGGAACTTCTACGGGGGGTTGATCACCAGTTCCATCCTGTGCACTTCCGCAGTCGGTAAGTTTGTTACAAAATTTGTTAAAGGTGAAACAGGAGATTTTTCCAGGGCCTGTAGGTCCTTGCAACGGCGACTCTGGCGGTGCTTTGGTAGTGGACGGGGTACAAGTGGGTGTTACGTCTTTTGGTACTTCATCTTGCGAACGGGGAAACCCCAATGGTTTCGCCAGGATCACCTCCTTCAGGGCGTGGATATACGAAAATACTGGTATATGAATCTGACTGAATATATTGTATAGTTTTAGTTTTTCTAATAAAGTATATAAAACACAATTTGAGGTTTTTTTTTACCAGAAGAAAAGCATCAAATTCTGAATCTCGTGGGACGAAAAGTCATGCCTTTGGCGTTTGCGTTTGAAGTCATCTATTTTGTTGTACGGAAAAATCCCAAATATTATGTAGAATAAGAATCCGAGTTTGCCTGTTCCAAAGAACCGTTGCTAAATTCAAGGGAACAACAAACATACGAAAAGAACGAAAAATGACCCGTTTTTCGACATATTTTTCCCTGTAACATTGAAAGTAAGTCCTAAATAAAAAAGTCATTCTTTATTTTTTTGTTTATTTGACGATTGCGAATCAAAAAAGTTGAATTTTGCATTAACAATAGGCGAAATATAGTAGAAAATCATACGTATACTGGAGCAATTTTTAAAATAAGTAAATATTTATAATTTTGATGAAACTTTGTGAAAAAATAGTAAAACATAGAATTGACATATTATGTCAATTCTACCCTAAAAATTTAAAAAAGTTTATCGCGTACCTTGGGTTTAAATTAAGGTTTAGAAAAACGTAATACTTCGTATTACTAGTGATCCACGTCATATTTAACTTTTATTTTCTGAGTGCACTTGTATACCAGGAAAATTAGCGAAAATAAAAGAGAAACTCGAAAAAGTCCTATCCGCGAGATTATTGCAAAATTGTCTAAAGGAACATAATACAAGACATCTCTCATCTCGTGAGACAAAAACTTTTATTAGCTAACTTTTCTATTTAAACAAATAAGTGAGGAAAACAGTTTTTTCACTTTGCAGGGAAAACCATCAATTTTAGCGAAAAGTGACTCTCAGACAGCTTATAGGGAGTAAAATTATCTACAAAATGAGACTGGTTAAATTAAAATCGGTTAATAAACAAAAAAGTTATTGCAAAAAAACAAGAAAAGTGCCCATTTTTTAATTTGTTTATAACTATCGCATTTATTGTTAAAATTTTATAAAACCTATGACAAGTTGAGGGTTTTGTCATACTTTAAAAGTGTGCCAAAAGTGGGCGCTGTAGGTGCAATAGTTTTCGCACAATTCAATTTGTTTATAACGGAGGCTCCAAAAGTTAGGAACTTTAAGCCTGTACTGGCGTTAATTTTCAACCAAACATGATTCTGAAAACGTCATTGTAATCTTAAAGACGTAATTAAGCGACCTATTAAAAAATATCACCGTTTTTTTGACATTAACATTCTCAAATTGTGCATTAAAAAGCCATGCGTTTTTCGCTTATAAACGAACGAACGAACGAAGTAGCGAAATAGTAGTTAACTTTACCAAAATGAACGTTTTCAGTTATTGTTCAATGCCAATCGTAATACCTACTAATATTGGTAATAATAATTGGTAATCTTTTTGTGTACTTACAGTAGTGTAAAGATATTAGACGATTATTATTAGAATTTGTGTGGACTTTGTACTGATACTATTTGCAGATAGTAAAAGTCCCAGTTTTACTCATCATAGTCCGGTCAAATTAGTCATAAAAATAGTGGTAAATNTTTGACACTTTATTTCTAATGGTGTACCCAAGGTCTCCACCAAAATTTAGCTCTGTCGGAATTTTCGTTATTTGAAATGTCTATTTTGTCCCTTTGAACTCTTGGTATTTAGTATAAGTCAAATTATTTCAAATAATCGTTACACAACATGATTTATTTGATCTAAGCTAGTAGAATTAAACTTTTAATACTCCAGTTGAATTAGATCATAAAACCCGAAGACTTGAAAAAATTATTAGTAGACATTTTATAGCACTTTATGACGGGGAAGAGTATATAGAACAATATTATCAAAAAAATGTAACTAGAAAGAAGTGACGCTAAGTAGGAAAATTGAAAAAACACGTAAATTTGCCACTTATTTGTAATTTGCCAACTTAGCGTCACTTATTTCGAGTTACTTTATTGTAGTACAGGAAATATAGAGTTGAAGGCGACTTTTTGTTTCAGCAAGCTGAATTTATCACTATAGATGCTAAATATTATGTACAATAACATATTAGTTTCCCCAGTCATAAAAATGGGGGGAAGATTGTTTACGGTGTGGTTAATTGCATAATTTTTACGTACATTCACGTTTTCCGCTTATAACTTTTTTCCGTTCATTTCCACGAGAAAACAGTAATGTACTTTTTTTTTTCGTCTTCAAAAGACCTACAAAACTAGCTCTCGAGCGTCAAAAAATATTGATTAGATCAAAAGTTATAAACAGAAGAAGTTTTGATTTAAACATTTATAAACTGAATTATTATTACCAGAACGTTTTGGCATCGCATCTTCTCATTCCTTATCACCGTCTAATAACTCACACGAAATCTGGAATCGGTAAATTGAATAGTTTACAAGTTATGGCCTTATAAACAAATTAACTAATGATTAGTCTGGACGATCCCGAGGATCTTCCACAATCGCACTGATTTTTTTCGTGGTAGATTTCATAATAATACATTGAAATCTATTATTTTTTTTAAATTTCAAATTTGCAACCTGAATTTTTTTTATTTTTTAGCCTTAGTTGCAAAATGAAATATACGACGCACGCGCGTG